CATACATCACAATATATCATTCATCATTCATCACAACTTCTGGCCATATCACATCACATGACAATTGCTGCAAAAACAAGTTAGACGTCCTCTAATTGTTGTTGCATCTTTTACGTGACTGCAATTGGGTTCTAGCAAGAACGTTTTCTTACCTACGAATAACCACAACTTGATTTTGTCAACTTCTATTTACCCTTCATAAGGACCCTTTTCATCTAATCCGCTCCAACTAAAGTAGGAGAGACAGACACCCGCTAGCCACCTTATGCAACTAGTGCATGTCAGTCGGTGGAACCTGTCTCACGTAAGCGTACGTGTAAGGTCGGTCCGGGCCGCTTCATCCCACAATACCGCTGAAGCAAGAAAAGACTAGTAACGGCAAGCAAATTGAAAAGATCTACGCCCACAACAAAATTGTGTTCTACTCGTGCAATAGAGAACTACGCATAGACCTAGCTCTGATGCCACTGTTGGTGAACGTTGTAGAAAATTAAAAATTTTCCTACGGTTTCACCAAGATCCATCTATGAGTTCATCTAAGCAACGAGTCATGGGAGAGAGATTGCATCTACATACCACTTGTAGATCGCGCGCGGAAGCGTTCAAGGGAACGGTGATGATGGAGTCGTACTCGCCGTGATTCAAATCACCGATGACCAAGTGCTGAACGGACAGCACCTCCGCGTTCAACACACGTACGGTACGGACGACGTCTCCTCCTTCTTGATCCAGCAAGGGGGAAGGAGAGATTGAGGAAGAAGGCTCCAGCAGTAGCACGACGGCGTGATGATGGTGGAGAGGCAGTACTCCGACAGGGCTTCGTCAAGCGCACAACGGAGGAGGAGAGGTGTTGAGGAGGGGAGGGGCTGCGCCTCGGATCAGGTGTTCAGCCCTCCCCTCACCCCTCTATTTATAGGGGAAGGGGGAAGGGGGCCGGCCCCCTCTAGATGAGATCTAGAGGGGGGGCGGCCAGGGAGGGGGCTTTCCCCCCAAGCAAAGGGGGGCGCCCCCTTTAGGGTCCCCCCCAACCCTAGGCGCATGGGCCCAAGGGGGGGGGGCGCCCAGCCCTCTAGGGGCTGGCTCCATGCCCCACGCGGACCATGTGGCCCACCAAGTGGGGTGGCCCCTCCCGGTGGACCCCCGGAACCCCTCCGGTGGCCCCGGTACAATACCGATATGCCCCCGAAACTTTCCGGTGTCCGCATGACAACTTCCCATATATAAATCTTTACCTCCGGACCATTCCGGAACTCCTCGTAACGTCCGAGATCTCATCCGGGACTCCAAACAACATTCGGTAATCACATACAAGTCTTCCTAATAACCCTAGCGTCACCGAACCTTAAGTGTGTAGACCCTACGGGTTCGGGAGGCATGCAGACATGACTGAGACGGCTCTCCGGTCAATAACCAACAGTGGGATCTGGATACCCATGTTGGCTCCCACATGCTCCTCGATGATGTCATCGGATGAACCACGATGTCGAGGATTCAATCAACCCCGTATACTATTCCCTTTGTCAATCGGTGCGTTACTTGCCCGAGACTCGATCGTCGGTATCCCAATACCTCGTTCAATCTCGTTACCGGCAAGTCACTTTACTCGTACCGTAATGCATGATCCCGTGACCAGACACTTGGTCACTTTGAGCTCATTATGATGATGCACTACCGAGTGGGCCCAGTGATACCTCTCCGTCATACGGAGTGACAAATCCCAGTCTCGATCCGTGTCAACTCAACAGACACTTTCGGAGATACCTGTAGTGCACCTTTATAGTCACCCAGTTACGTTGTGACGTTTGGTACACCCAAAGCACTCCTACGGTATCCGGGAGTTACACGATCTCATGGTCTAAGGAAGAGATACTTGACATTGTAAAAGCTCTAGCAAAACGAACTACACGATCTTGTGCTATGCTTAGGATTGGGTCTTGTCCATCACGTCATTCTCCTAATGACGTGATCCCGTTGTCATTGACATCTAATGTCCATAGTCAGGAAACCATGACTATCTGTTGACCAACGAGCTAGTCAACTAGAGGCTTACTAGGGACGTATTGTGGTCTATTTATTCACACGTGTATTACGATTTCCGGATAATACAATTATAGCATGAATAAAAGACAATTATCATGAACAAGGAAATATAATAATAATCCTTTTATTATTGCCTCTAGGGCATATTTCCAACAGTTCCCTAGTTTCCATCTCACGCAGGAGAGGAGAGTGTACATTGTGTTCAACCTGATTCTAACAAACTCGGTGAAAATTCTACCATTCTTATCTGCATCCACTCTAAGAACCTTTCCTAGCAGTCGGCCTAATTGCCACCCTATCTCCACTGTGAGCATAAGCGGAGGTACATCATATATTCTGGCCCAAATGGGCATTACATTTACTGCTACCTCAGCCGGCTTGCCTTTCCCGTCGTAAGGCACGATCAGAAAGGCATCCTTGTGGTGAGTCCACGGCCCGTTCTCAATGACGAAGCGGCGGTCGCCCTCTCACTCAAACTCGAGCATGAAGCGATTGTTGCGCAGAGGTGTGTAGTTGAGCTTGCCCCGCAAGCCCCACTTGCTCCGGAGATCGCCAAAGAGTCCCTCTGTACTGAATGACAAGACGGAGAAGAAATAGCCCACTGCTAACCAGCGTGTGCACATGGCAGCACGGGCCTTGGAGAGATCCAGCTCAAGCACCTCCCTACCGCGTACCTCGGTGACCATCGGGACGACGCTGGAGCGCATCTCCGCATTGGCGATCTCATCATGATTACCACACAAGGATCCCCCCTTCAGCAACCTCCTCTCTCCCTTTGCCTCGCCGTTCGAGGCCACCTCCTCAAGCTTGCTGTTCATGGCCTTCTTCATCTTGTGAGCAGTGGTCGTGTCCTTGTTCTCTCCCATTGCAAAGGTATAGTTGTAGTCTGAATAAGATGGGGAGGATGTGCCCAAGCCATCCCCTTTTATATCCATATTCGTAATGAGCCAGGCTGCGTCTGGTGGGATTATTTCAAGGAATATCATTAGCTGATTTGCATGTAGTGATCCTCTGTTGTCCCTTTCATAGGCTCCGGTAGAGATAGGGTCAGGTGGATCTCCGGTCTGAGAGTTGTTTCCATTGCCAGGGATCGCCTGCGATACTTTCCACAATATCCTCTCCTTTTTCGTTGATTCCTCTTTCTCGATAGGCAACAGATCACGGGACGACGAGGAAGGGAGCGGTGGGTGTGGATCTCCTCTGCCAGGTTTCCAATCTGAAGGGGACTGAGATCTTACCTCCTCAATTTTCTGGCCATTAGGATTTGATTTTATCGTGTTCCGGCCTTCATCCAGGTGCCTTTCCATTCCCCTTGCCAGATGTTGATTCTTGGTTAAACCTGCCACTCGATGATCTCCAATCTTTACCTTGTCCGGCATAATATTGTTGCATATCAAGTCACTATCTGAATCTGATCCCAAAACCTGATCTCTTGGGACGCCCAGTCCTCTTGCAGCCCCCCCTATGCAATCCAAGATCTGATTGGCTCTACATCGGATCCGCCTTACTATTTCTCCCGATTCTTTCTTGATACATGTCTCCCGATCCTCTCTCTTCCGTAGTTCCCTCGATGAGATCTCCCAGGACTGCAATCAGGCGACCATCTCCTTCCGGATCTCCTTTAACCCTAGCGGGTCTCCACCGAGAGATGCGCGGTGATGCTGGCCAGCAGATCCTCTCTTACAATCCCTGGGGTGGTCGGGGGTGGACAGGAATCTGGGGGAATCGGTGATCCCCGGCGACAACCCGCGGTCGCCATCGTGGGGTGGTGGGAGGGGCGGCATCGTGGGGTCTCCGAACCCCAGACTAGACTTTCCAAAGGGAGAAATTTTTCCGTATCAAAGAGGAAATCATTTCTAGCCTTCCAACAAAGACACCATCAAAAGTTGAAAATATTTAAAATAGAGGCATGCAGATGATACATGTTGAGGAGAGCAAGAATAATAGCATGCATATTAGTATGGCCCCGAAGTAAAACATGAGTGCAAATGAACCATGGCTGAGAGAACCATGCCGCTCTAGCAAAATCACACTGAAAAAGGAGGTGAAGTTCATCCTCATGCCGAACCGCATCTACAACAAAATTGAGAAATGTGCACAGAGAAACGTGTATACGAGTTCAACGTAGACTTGTATACGACTTCTAATCCAGCCTGAATACGGACACATACGTCCGTAAACAGACCCAGTGCAACTCCTAAGCCGGACTCAACTTGCAAAGCCAACTTCAACGTAGACTCTCCAACTTGCATTAACCTTACTGCTAGTCCTACGTAACTTAATTAACTCAAGATTATTTCAAACAATCTCTCTCTAATCTTGAGACACTTTGTCTTCTGGGCTTTTCCGATCTTGACTCGATGATGATCCGCTTTTTGTCGATTCATCTGTCTCGCACCACAACAAGTCAAATTGTGGACCTGGTTGTTCGAACAAGTCGTCGGACTTGGAGCCATGGCCGTCGTCGTCGCTCAGGTCCTTGAGGGCCTTGCGGCGGCGGAGGCGCTCCTTCCGAGACAGTCGGGGAGGGTGGATGCGGTTCTCCTCCTCGTCTTGATGCAGGACCGCGATGATGAAACGCTGTCTCGCCTCGCCCAGCAACTCCTACCCCACATCGGTGAACAGGCCGTCGAACTCCGGCGGTCGTGGCAGGCCAGGGCCGGGGCCAGGGCTTCCTTCTCCGGAAGCTCCCTCCATGGACGGCAGAGATCGATGGCGGAATCGTTCGTTCTAGATTGTTGGGATCGTAGGGTCAGGGAGGGATATATGGACGGGAGATTGATCCGTGTGTGCGTCCGAGTCGAACCAGCCCCTCTGTTTCGTTCCCTTGTCGGAACGGAAGGGGCTGCATGCTGGTTACCAACAGGTCGTAGCTATAGCTGCAATCTTGCAATACGGTTATGGTAAAATTGTACGTAATTGTGCAGTGCTTTATACTACTACAACAAGGAAGTGTTTAACTAAGCCATTGGCTCGGAGTGAATCTTCTTGGCGGCCTCGCGCTGCGCGTGCACGTCCATGTCGACGTCGATGGTGTCCGTGGACTCGGCCCTGTACCTGTAGCGGTGGGCGAGCACGGCGAAGACGACGCAGTTGGCGGCGGCGAGCAGCGTGAGGAAGGCGTAGTAGTAGTCGAGGTGCGCGGCGTTGAGGTTGTCGGCCACCCAGGGGCTCCCCCGCCTGCGCGTCACCCGCGTCACCAGCGACAGGATGAAGCTGCTGAGGAAGTTGCCGACGCCGTACGCGGTGAGCGACAGCGCCGTGCCCAGGCTCTTCATGCTCTCCGGCGCCTGGTCGTAGAAGAACTCGATCTTGCCCACCACCAGGAACGCGTCCGCCAGGCCCATCAGCACGAACTGCGGCAGCAGCACGAAGATGCTCAGCCGCAGCTTGCCGCCGCTCACGTCCAGCCCGCGGCTCCGCGCGTAGCTCAGCCGCTGGCTCTCGATCAGCGACGCCGTGCCCATCGTCAGCACCTGCACCAGCAGCCCGATGCCCATCCGCGTCAGCAGGCTGATCCCTCTCGGGTTCTTGGTGTACCTCCGCACCGCCTTCACGAAGACCCGGTCGTAGACGACGATGGCCACGAGCATGGTGAGCGTGACGAACGCGCCCAGGCTGGCCGGCGGGATCTCGAAGCTGCCCGAGCCCATGTGCCGGTTCATGGTCGTGCCCTGCTTCACGAACAGGGTGTTGGTCTGCGCGATCAGCGTGCACGGCACGAACATGGTCACCAGCAGAGGGATCAGCTTCAGGATCTGTTTCGTCTCCTCCACCTCCGTCACCGTGCACAGGCTCCACTTCGCCGCCCTGGACGATGACCCGTCGACGACGTCCTTCACGGCCGCCTTGTTGAGGAACCGCATGGAGTTGGTGGAGTCCATCCGAAACTTGTGCTTCTTCGTGTACGCCTCCAGCTCCAGCTCGTGCAGCTCCTTGGCGTCGGCCGGCACGGGGAGGCGCCACTTGCGGAGCGCGGCGCCGACGACCTTGCCCATGCGCGTGAAGGCGCTGCCCTGCGGCAGCTTGTGGCGGTACACGGGCGTGCCGGCGAGGAAGATGGCGATGGAGGCGATGAGGCCGAGCGTGGGGATGCCGTAGCCGACGGACCAGCTGACGTTGTCCTGGAGGTAGACGAGGACGGTAGAGGAGAAGAGGATGCCGACGAAGATGGTGAACATCCACCAGTTGAAGAAGGAGAGCTTGTGGGACTTCTCGCGGGCGTCGAAGTCGTCGAACTGGTCGGCGCCGATGGTCGAGATGTTGGGCTTGGTGCCGCCGTTGCCGAAGGCGATGATGTACAGCCCGCCGAAGTAGACGCCCACCTGCAGCAGCGACGCCCGTGGGCAGACTTTGCCGACGCACTCCGGCGGCTTCAGCGCTCCCACCGACACGGACAGTGTCAACAGCAGCATCCCCTGCATCAGGACACGCACGTCATTTGTAGTCTAGTACATCATCCATGCATGCATCCATGACAACGAGTCAGCAGAATACTACATGATATTTCTATAAAACTTCAAAATGGTTAACTTTCAAATCTCTCGACTTATGATCCGTCGTCATCGTCGGGGTTTTCTTGTCAAGTGTTTCAACACTATATATCCCATTGACACCCGAAGGATTAATGAAGTTGCTACGGTATTGGTAGCAAAGTTGTATCGCACAAGAGCAATTGAGCGAACGTCAGTTCACTGCCTCGTTTCTAAAGTAGATGGAATTTCAGATTTTACATGTAGACAACTTTGACTATTAATCATTGTACAAGTATTTGAGTAATCACAATAAACATGTATCATGGAATTGTTTTTTCATCTCATAGTTTCTATGTAATGAAATAAATTGGTATTTTTTTGGGCAGATGATCCAGGATAAGAAGATTAATTAGGGTATAGTATCTTATCTTATAGTACAAATACAGCCCTTCTTTTTCTCGATGTTGGTAGGTTCTACGTTGGTTGCTAATAATCGCCATGGATTATTATTGGTGTATTTTATAAGTAGTAATTAACTACAATTAGCACCTGATGTGTTAACTATTCAGGCCGCGAATTGATCATAGCTCAGATGGTCCATTAGGTTTCAAATCCTAAACTTGATACTCGCATTTTTTTTTGATCGATTCTTGGCTTTCCGGCGATGACGTTTTGTGATAGTAGACATTTTCGTCGACTGCGAGATGCATGTGGTCATTTCATCAATTTCAAAATGTTGTGTCGTCTCGGTATATTGGAGGTGCTCATTGAAGTAGAGTGTGCATGTGTGTGTCTTCGTAGGAATGAGTGTATGCGTGTATTAGAACTTGCGTTTGTATCGTGCTAAAAAGACCAAGAAAATATGCAATTGGACGTGTTATCCATAGTTGATTACAAAACAAGTTTCTTGTCCTATGTGATGGAGCCCTGCTGTCAATGCGACCATTGTGGCACATGCCGCCACCTTAGGTGCGTAAGTTGCAAATGATTGTACTAATGAGTGATATGCTACTTTAATACTATCACTAAAAGGACATGCAAGACGTGACAATTTAGGGGTGGCCACAAGTCTCGTGCACTGACTTTTCACGGGTGCATGGAAATTAGCTTACATGCATACATGCGACACACACATGGAATTAAAGGAAAATTCTACCACAATTATTCCACTACTCCACTGATTTGTGCTGTGATAATTAATAGCGTATGTCCCTCTCCAAGAGATACAGGAGATCTACCGTATTCACTTGGTGGCAATTCAACGTCTGAAAATGTTTCTGGACTGGTTGATCTGGAACGAACGGTCAGCATCACGCACCACTCTTCACCGCGACACTTTAATGGTCTCCTCCTCCAATAATTCGACCCGAACGTACGTACATAAATCTGGGATGAAGTGGTACATCACGCGTCGTGCACGTATGCGTCACATTTACGTGCATGTCATTTGTCCTTTGTTTTTGTTTTGCTGCCGGGGAGCATGTCACTGTGAGTTGGTGACATGTAGAGACCACAGAATCTCGTGCATGCACGGAGAGCGTGGGGGTCAAACTTACCGTGCACGTGCAATGACTTGAGCAGATATGCATGCATGTACTCCTAGTGCTAGCTAGACGATAGGGTCGCACACTAGATATGTAGTAGGTCCACTGGACGAGTCAAGATTCCACGGCTCGATCGATCAACTAAAGCGGCTTAGGTGTGGTCGATCGTGTAGTCCACATACGTAGTACTCTATAGATTGTGGAGTCAACAAATATGACCGCATGCACGTCGAAATCGATGGATCGATCTCTCCGGCGCGGCGGTCACGATCTGGACTAGTACGCCGAGGTCCAAGACAAAGTGATAGACATCTCAGCCCGATCTCGTCTGCATCCGACCATACGCCGGCCATCCCGGCAACGGGAACGGATCAGCTATTAGTACGTACGACTCGTTCATCTGCACATGCGTACTACTGGCCCAAGCTCAATCATCCATCCGCGTCAGTCCGAACCAGGCAGCTAGCTCTAGCTGCGTGGACAAACTTGGAGCACTAGTGCTACTACGCTGCCTCCGTCCCGGTTTAGTATTTTGAGCCAGACTTTGAGAGTCCATATAACTAATAAAATATAAAATATATGCTATAAAAAGTACAGTGTTATATTTGTTTTGAAAGAGCTTTTCGATGATATAATTTTGATGACATATAAATATAATTTATTAGTTAAATTTGTTGTTCAAATTTTATTCCAAAATTAGAGGGGGGCTTATAAATCCGGACAGAAGGAAATGATAGATATTTTCTACGGACTGCCCTACATACTACGCAGCTAGCTCTAGTATGTCTCGTGGCTAGGGAGCTACTCGCCCGCCTCCAATTTTCTCATTTTCTGTGGCGCGACACCGACGGACGTTTTGTGCCTCACCAAACGTATGTACTTTTTTTAGGGTACCAAAAAACGTATATACTGTATGATAGTACAAATCCCCATCCAACTCTCAAAGGCTCCGCCGTAAATCGCTCGCTGCCACATCATCCATGATGTTATCACGACAGACCGCAGCGACGTCTTCGGGCGGCGCACATACGCCTACGTATCTACGAAAGTTACCATGAGGTGAAGCATAGGAACGAGTTGTTAATTACCACGAGATAGATGGCGGAGCCGACGACGAAGGTCCAGTAGCGGCCGAGGTAGGCGTCGGCGACGTAGGCGCCGAGCAGGGGCGTGAGGAAGACGGTGCCGGACCAGTTGGTGACGTTGTTGGACGCCTCCACCGTGCCCTGGTGCATCTTCTCCGTGAGGTAGATGAAGAGGTTCGCCGCGATGCCGTAGTAGGCCATACGCTCGAACAGCTCGTACACTAATTCACATATAAAAATGCATTCAGTCTCAGACAAATATGGATCAGCCCGTGCATACATCCATGGCCTATGATGTTGAGATGGATCAGCTAGCAGCTGGATGAACCGGAGCAATCATGTGTGCATTGATTGGTTGGTACGGTACGCACCTACGATGAAGGTGCAGGCGGTCCAGCCGCCCCTCTTGGAGCGGAGCACGGGGTTGCCCCGGAGGTCCACCGACCCGTCCTGCGTGTACTCCTGCCCGCCGGCGCCGGCGCCGGTGCCGTCCTCCACGGCCAAGCTCAGGTTCGCCACCGCCATCGCTGCTACCTCCTCGAGGCTCACTCTGTAGCTAGCTAGCCTCTCTCTCTCTCTACACTCTTCGTGGCCGGCCGGCTGCAGGCGGTTATATGTCGATCTCTCACCCGACCTTCAAATAGGGATGGCCGCGCTAGGCTGCTAACCTATCGCTGGTGACGGGACCTCCATTTATAGACTTGGTACCAGTGACAATCTTGCTCCTAGCGCTACTCTCTGGTGGCCGTAGCGTCGTCCCCACCACGGAGCCGGACTTGATGTGCCCTCGGTCGACCACTTGTACGGGGCACCGCCAGCGCGGCCTTGTCATCACTTTGTCAGCTAATACTACTAGTATCTTGTTATACGGTGTGGCCAAAGGGCCGGGGAAGCGTCCGTCCGATTGGGCGACTGCTCATGCTCAAGAGAAAGCGATGCGGATGGTAGCTTGCCGGTTTGTCTGTGTGAGGAGGGTAGAGATCAATCGGTGTTGGATCTCCTCTCCTCATTGTACTCCCTAGTCCGATGGATGGACACAACCTCGGGTGGCCACACGTACAGGTATGGTATCTCAGGGCATCTCTAACGGCAACCGTAAATTTCCCCGTATCTATTCGCGAACATGAGGGGATCAGTTCACGGACATGGATGCGGGAGGCCGCCATCCAACGTTGATGGTATACATCCGGACAACAATTCGATGAATTCAAACCGGACGAATTTCATTGAAGTTCAGACATAATTTACAAAAAAAAGTCGATATTTTGACCGTTTAGAAAAACTAAAAAAATAAAATAACATATATCGGACGACCAACTCGTACGCTTGGCTGCCCTGCCTTGCCACACCGCCGTCTCCGCTGGTGCCGTCGTCATCGTGGTCCCTCAAGCGGCGGAACGAGGGCCATGACAGCCTTGTCTGGCGGCTGCCTGCCGCTCGCGAAGGAGCCGCTCTGCCTCCTGCGGTGCGGTGCGGAGTGCCGCCACGACCACTGCCAACGTGGCCTTTGGAGCCCTGGTGGCGGCCTTGCGGCGACCGGTGTTGGCGGAGCAGTCGTTAAGCGACCTCTCCTTGCTGATCTTGGCGAGCTCGCCGTCAAGGCGGCGGCGCCGCCTGGCGCCCGTCTCTGTGGTGGTCATGGAGCTGTCGAGCGCCACGCGGTGGCGAGGTCAGGGTCGTTGCGGACCCAATCTGGCGCCACGTCGCTCTTGACGAACGTAGAGCGGCGACCGGCATTGCGCCGGTCGTACCTCGCTTGATGCCTCGCAGCGCGCTCTGCCTCGGAGACAACAGCCCTCGAGCCTGACGCATCGCCATAACCGCCTCCTTTGAGGTAGTGGAGGAGGCGGCCCCACGCCTTCCTGATCGCGGGCGGTAACTCCTCCTTGACGGCGCGTACATGCGGTTGTACCGGTTGTGCGGCGGGGACGTCGGGTCCTCCTTGACCTAGCATCCGATCTGGACGCCCCGGTTGTGCTGGGGCGAGGTGGGCTCCTCCTTCACATGCCGGAGCGGGGACGCCGGCTCGTGCTTCACGCGGTGGTGCGGCAGGGACGACAGCTCCTCCTTGACGTGTGCTGGTGATGGCGGCGACGGGTCCATGTAACGAAGCGACCGCTCTGTATTATCTTGATTTGATGGGAGAAATCTTCGTCCGTCAGAGCTCCCCCCTTGAGGAATTGGTGCGGCTGCGGCGGCGGCTGGTCCTCCTCCTTGGCGGAGGAGCTGGCCGCCGTGGACGCCTACGGACCCGGAGAGCATGGGCAACGGTGACATGGACTGCCGAAGGGGGAGCTTCCGCCTACTCTGCCTGCTGGCGCGGAGCACCACGATTTTGACATTGCCTCAGCTGGGGTCGAAGAGGAGGATGGGCTGGGGCACGGAGATGGGGAAAGGGAGGGGTGGTGGTCGGGGAGGGGTGTGCAGCTTTGTGCGTCGCCGACGCACGGCTTAAATAGCCACAGCGGGGCCCAAGCGAAGGGACGGTCATCCTGCTTCAATGCAGCGCAGCGGCCATAGTTGATACATTGGGATGCGGTGTCCATATTGAAACGGCGGCATTCGAGAGGTCACGCCCGTCAGCGCCCCCTTCCGTCTGGTTAAATTGCGACATCAATGCCGGCAGCTGCATACTATGGGCCGACATGAATGCGGCGTGGCAAGCGACGCGACACATGGGATGAAAAGCGCGGATGGGGCGGGTGGGGGTTTGGATGGGCAAGAGCGGTCAGAAGCGGACGTGGCATCGGTCTGGACTCCTCTAAAGCCCCCGTAAAGCCCGCGTTGGATGATTTCTATGGTCCGAACGGATGCATATGGTTTGAGGGTCTGCGTTGGAAATGCCCTTAGCCGACGGAGTGGAGAGCACGCCTTGACGAGGGCGGTCGAGGTGCCAGCCGTTTTCTTCTCCGCCGACGGCGACCTACTCCCGGCCGCACAGCACAGAACGTACGTATGACGGCCGGATAAGCGCGGCCGTCGTATAATACTGTTGGCGTGATCCACGAGATTCTTCCAGTGACCTCGCAACAGACTAATAATTTGCCTTGATGATCACAGAGCAGATGGACACCGCGACGACATCCCATCGACTTAACCAATCACGCAGATCGCTGGCTGCAGCTACTATACGGGCATGGTGAGATCCTCCAAAGTCCTACTATAGTACTATAAGCGGCCGGGAGCGGATTAACTAGGCGTCAGGCACCAATCACGTCCGTCCCGCAGCTATTATATGGGAAGGAGTAGATGATGGCCCTTGCTTTCGGCACCATGGATCCATCAAGTACCGAAAACTCCACACGACATGGGCCACCATGCCCGATGGATCGGCATGCTCCATTCGTCGAGACGTAGCTGTCCGGGGTTGCGAGATCGCGAAAGACGCCGCAGCGACGTGCTCGATCGATCGATCCACCGGCAGTGCTGCGTTCAGACTTCACCTTGAGACGGCCGGCCGGACGACGCCAAAAGCTACACGTACTACTGCTCCACCAGATCGATAATCTATCTAAGCTGGAACCGTGCTAGGCGCCGCTCTCCTATCCTATTCCCCCTGTTACGCTGTCTCTCTCTGCGCTCTACAGTGGTGTGATCTGCCACTTCCGGTTGCTTGCTGAATACAGTGGTACTGCTCCCTTGAGCTGTTGCTGGGCAAGCAAGGAAGTTGCGTCCGTCGCTGCTGCTCTACCTGTACATGCCGTTCCTGGAGCAAGGAAGATGGGGACAGCGGCCGGCCGTACGTGTGCACATCGGTTCCGTCACCGCTAGCCCTTGGCCTGTAGGCTGCGTGTGCCTGCTGACGGCTGCCCTTTTTTTCGTTAAGGAAGAGGGAGATCGTTGAGCAAGCGACGAAGATGCAAGAGCTGCAGGGCAGTCTATTTGCTCTTTGCAACCGCCGACATGCCTCGAGCTTGCTATCAATACAAAAGTTCCGGTAGTTGAAATTACATGGAAGCACCAGTGGTCTAGTGGTAGAATTCCCGGCTGGTGCAATACAAAAGTATCCTGCCACGGTACAGACCCGGGTTCGATTCCCGGCTGGTGCGACATTTTTTTCTTTTTACTTTTCGCGCATCTCATACGAAATGCCCATTCTTCTTGCTGGTTAGGTGTGGGCTGTCATTCTGCCATTTTGCGTGGGCCGCCTTCCTTTTTTCTTGAGAGGCAGGGGAGGCGGTTCTTTATTTTTATTTTTATTTTATATGAAAGGAAAATATAGACCTGGGATCGATTCACGGCTGGTGCAGAGTTTTTCTTTTCTGTCTATCTAACCTTTTGCATCTCGTAAGAATGGCAAAATTTTGATGAATTGGGCATCGAAGTTTCATTTCCTTGTTCAGCCTACATGGATTCGTCATGCGGTGTCGTATCAGTCGCTTGTTCCCTGGCTACCATTGGACAAACAATGATCACGAGCGGTCAGCGTAAGAAAAAGTGCTACCTGCCTTCTTGCAGCGGAACGAACGCGAGGAATAAGATGAACTACGTGAGAGCATCGCTAGCAGATGTCTTAAAAAGTTTATTATTTATGTTAAAATTGTATTGATCGAAAATTTAAATACATGTGTGAATACATAAACTGCACTGTGTCCTTAGTAAGTCTTTATTAGACTAGCTCATTGATCAAAGATGATTATGGTTTTCTAACTATGAACATGAGTTGCCGTTTGATAATGAGATCACATCATTAGGAGAATGATGTGATGGACAGACCCAACCGAAAGCTTAGCATCAGATAGTTAGTTATTTGCTATAGCTTTCTTCATGTCAAGTATCTGTTTCTTCGACCATGAGATCATGCCACTCCCGGATACTGGAAGAATGCCTTGTGTGCTATCAAACGTCACTTCATAACTGCGTGATCATAAAGGTGTTTTACAGGTATCTTCGAAGGTGTTTGTTGGGTTTGCATGGATTAAGATTGTGATTTGTCACTTCGTATGACTGAATAATTTTATAAAATTGAAAACATTTTTCTAATTTTTTGTGAAAACCTTCCAAATTCATGAATACTTTTTATTTTGAATTTCTAAATCACACCTAGATGGTGATGTTGGCGACAATCTGCATGCTAGCATACAAGAACTCGATCGATCACTAGTTTTTTTAGGGGAACTCGATCGATCACTAGTACATGAGTGCGTGTGTAACCTACGAAAAGACTGGCTCGGCTCTTCCGCTTCGGCCTACTACTGCATGCCAAGGCCCAAGCCCAGAACAGACCCCAGCCCGGGTTTCAGGAAAACAACCCGGGCGCGCCTGAGAATTGCCTTAAAAAGTTACTCCTACATCTACTACCATTATAAAAGCAAGAGAGGGCGCAGAACCAGATTATCCTATCTATCAAAAGCTGCAATCTGATGGTCTACATCCTTCCAGCATACTAAACGCGTTCTACGCTTTAATTATCCATCATGCCATTACTTTAATTAATTACTCATCATGCCATTGGGTTAACATCTACCTAAAATCCCCTCGCTACCCTGCACGCCCGCTCGCCCCTGCTTTGCCTCCCCCGCAGT